ACTGGGCCCTCCCACATCACTCAACAATCAAGAAAATGCCCCACAGACACAGCCACAGGCCAGTCCAATGGAGGCAATTCCCCAATTGAGGCTCCCTCAACCCAGGTGTGTCAAGTTGACACTAAAGTTGTCCAGAATACCATCCCAACAAGGAAGAAATGCTGACTGACTGATGCAATTTAAAAAAATCTAATGTACCTTAAATACACTTTGTCTTTTTTGCTATTTATTTATTTATTTAGTCTTTTTTTGAGACAGGTTCTTACTGCTGCCGCAGCTGGCATGGAACTCACTATGTAGACCACACTGTCCTTGGATCTCACAGAGATCTGCCTGCCTTGGCCTCCCAAGTGCTAGAACTAAAGGCACATGCCACTTTGTCCAGCTCTATATTTTAATATTTAAAATTAAAAATACTAATTCTGCATACTTATAATGGTCTTGCTGTAGACTATGCATTGCTCAGCTAGGCTTTATGATTGCTTTACATGCTTCTCTAAGCAGTGCACTTTACTTTTCTCCCTATGCACAACCGACCTACTTACCGGCTCGTCCCTTTTCCTCTTTCTCTCTTTTCCAAGCCTTCCTAAAGTATCTCAGTTTTCCCAACTATTTTCCCATTTGAGTTTTTCTTAGTTGATCTGATACTAATCCCTACCTTCCCTAATCTTAGACTCCCTCTCCTATTTCTATTCCTACCGTACTATGCCCCACTCCATTTCATGTCCTCTATTCTTATTATTTTTTAAAAACATATCAAGTCTAATTGTGTCCCCAAATGCCCTTCAGTATGAGTCCATCTCCTAGAGCCTGGTCAACCTACCCAACACCATATCCTTAATGAAAACTGTCTCTCCCTCTCCCAGCAGCTATCATTGGTTAACAGTTCCTCAGCTAGGGTTGAAACTTCTGGCCCACTTCCCCCTCCACGCTGGGATTGCTTGGCTTGAGGTTGTGTAGGTCTTGCACATGCTGTCACAAGCACTGTGAGTTCATATGTGCAACTGTCCTGCTGGCTGAATATGCATGTTTCAATTGGAAAATCCATAGAGGTCAGGAAATTAGTAAGGGGCTATTGGGGGGGGGTCTTGGGAGAAGTGACAGAATGCAGTGATCTAAAGAGGGAAAGGGGGATAATAGAATAGGAAGAGTTAAATGGCATGGGAAGTGGGAAGGGAGTATAACACTAAAGGCCTTTTGAAAAAGTCATATGAAAATGTGCTACTATAGAAACTTCTTAATGTGTATACATATATAATATAAAGAGTTTAAATATAGTTATTGTATAATGGTGATTCAATGGCCCTACCAGATACCACAGGCTAGTGAACTGAAAGGCCGCTGACAGAAATGGATTCCCTCTTTTGGAACTGTTGACCAGCGGGGTCCCACAGATGCTTTAACAATACTGGCTGGTAATGAGGTTGTAGTGAGAGACAGTAATTAACTTTTTGCAGTAACTCTAAGTTCCACCAGCTTTTACCACCATCCACCACCCCCTACCCCTGCCTCTTAGCAACATCTCAGGATTTCCTTTTTTTCTTTGGTCTTCTTGGGTCAAGGGCTCCTGTAGCCCTAGCTGGCCTAGAACTTGCTATGTAGACCAGGCTGGCCTCAGCCTCACAGAGATCTGCTTGCCTCTGCCTCCTGAGTGCTGGGATTAAAAGTGTTTGCAACCACGCCCAGGTAAGAAATTTACTCTTTTAATTTGTGTCCTGTCATTCTTTTTTTTTAACTTAAAAAAAAACTTTATTGAGAATTTCATACATGCATATAAGGTATTTTGATCAAATCCACACCCACTCCCTCCCCTCCAACACTCCCATATTTCCACATCACTTTTCTCTGACAACTTCATATACTCGCTTTCTTTCTTTCTTTCTTTCTTTCTTTCTTTCTTTCTTTCTTTCTTTCTTTCTTTCTTTCTTTCTTTCTCACTCTCTCTCTCTTTTAAAAAAACTTTCATTTATTATTTTTATGTTATGTATGTGAATGTATTGCCTGCATGTAGGTAAGTGCACCTGTGTCGTGCAATGCCCGTGGAGGACAGAAGAGGCCATTGGATCCCCTGGGACTGGAGTTATGGACAGTTGTTAGCTGCCATGTGGGTGCTGGGATTCAAACCCGGGTCTTCTGCAAGAACAGTGTTCTTGACTTCTGAGCCATCTCTCCAGCCCTCTCTTTTTCTTTTTTTAAATGAGGCTTTTTATTACTCTAACATTACCCCTCTGAGGAGGTAACCCTAAAATACTTTAGGGATTAGATAAGAACTCCCAAATACTTTTATCATTTTTGGCCTTTGGAACAGAGTATGTTGTTAAGAGGACCAAGGACATTTTGACTTTTAGCCAAGAAACTCGCTACTTTTCTTTGGGGTCTTTTAAAACCCTAACCGCCTAGCCAATTTCTACCTTCTATTCTTATCACACCATCCTCTGAAGAGATTACCCAAATTGCTGATAGGGAATTGGGACACAAACCCTGCTGGCGTCTTTCATGCTGAACAGGGACGTAGGGTGAGGCAATTGGGATACCCCTTCAGTGGGTCTATCTAAAAGATTCCCAAATTGCATAACTCTTATCTGTAGGGAGAAAAGAAAGTCCTTGACTGATGAATAGGAGATGTGAAGGAGAAGTAAAGACAAGAGTAGTTAGCATTACAAGTTCTAGACAGAGAACCAGAAAAACGTCAGAACAGGGTAAATTTCAAATGTTCATGTCAGAGTCCGTTGGGATTTTTTTTGCAAGGGCTTCCAAAAGCGTCCCTCTATTGGGTTTCTCCTCATTTTTCTTTTGTCTGCCAAGGCTGGACTCAAGAGTGATGGATTCAGGATTTGTTTTCAGGCACTTTGATAGCTACCGAAGTGGCTAGAATCAGTGTCAGTTCCCTTGCAAAGGCTTCTAGATAGGGGTAGAAAACAAATTTATCCATCATTTTAGAACAATAGCTGGTTGTCTCCCTTGGCTACAGGTGGGCACTACAGTATCGCGGACCAGGATTTGAAGTCTTACATGTGAGCAGCACTTTCTGATTAGGAACAAAATCATCAATGAAAAATAATTGTGTAAATAACTTTTTATGTAGACAAGCTAATGTCTGGGAAGTATAATCCCTTGAACTCTTAAAGAAATATAATGATAACTTTACTCTTTGGTTATACTTTCCTTTTGGGTATTTAAGACCATACAGTTGGTCCAAATAAATCAATTTATTTTTACACTTAAGGTTGTTTGAAAATCTATTCCTCAGGGGTCAAATGGGCTTGGGAGGAGCTCCTGGCTCCTTTCTTTTACCAGTTCCATCTATGTGAAGATAAGTCAATGATCCTGATTTCCCATATCTGGCTTCACTTGGGAGGATGCAAGAGATGTTTCCTCTGAGTTGACCCTTCTCTTTGTAGACTGGACACTGGTTCAAGTTCATCTTGTGGGGTCTCCATGGCCTCCCTGAACAAGAGGACAGGTGTCTCACCACAGTTCTAGGACATTCTGAGAGATGTTCCATAGTCCCCTGGAACTCAGTTGACCTTGGAGGGCAAGGGACAAAAACTGTCCTTTAAGTCCCTCTGACCAGATTAGTACAGGCCTCAAACTATGGCTGTTAAACATCCAATAAGGTTAGTTCCACAAGTCTGGTACTTTTAATTACCATGTGCTATGTAGATAAAGCTTGGCTAAACAACCATATATTCTCAGATAAATCTTGACTAGATATATATTTTGTTTCTTAAACTAGTTGACTAAACTATGATCTTAGAAATTTTAAGGTTATGTGTTTATTATTTTTGTCTCATCCTTTATATATCATAACAACCTACACAGACCTTATCACTTGCTTAGGCTTTCTCATTTTTTGTCTATTTTGGAAAATATCTCCATTCCCATATCCTTTTAACATCCTTTACATTCTCATTTTATTTTTTTTTTAAAATAGTTATGAGACATAATAGCATTAGCAAATAAATTTTCCATCTGTTGTGAGACTTCTTTTCCTGGGGATACTAAGCAATGCTTATTCCCTTTTAAGGTTCTAGTGTCAAGCCAATGTTTGATTAAAGTTTTCCTGGGGAACCAATGAATTTACTGAGCTTACTTATAAAGATGACTGAGAGGTTGCTGAGGTGTATGAGTGACCGTGGGTGGGTATGCACACTAGAAAGCCTTTACCCAGCATGGGATCAAGTCTTCTCTTCCTAGCCTTCCCCAGATTATATACTTTAGCCCTCCCCAAATCCAGGAGGCCATATGTGATTAGGGCCAAATCACATACAGTTGGCTGGGAAGAGTGGCTGAATAATCCAGTGAGCATCCAATGACCCTCCTTGGCCCTCCTTTAATGAATGAACACAGCCATCAACAAGCCCAATTGTGATGATGGTTAGCAATCAGGCACAGCTGAAGTCCTGATGATGGTAGTTATTTCATGCAGAAGAGACTGCTGTATAGCGTCATTTTATTAAAAGGACATGGCATTTAAAAGAATTTGGTGCTAGGATCCACAAATGAGGGAGAATATATGTCTTTTATTATTCTGAGTCTGTTTCTTAGTATCACAGTATCTACATCCATCCATTTACCTGCAAATTTCATTATTTCATCTTTCTTTACTGCTGAGTAGAACTTTATTGTATAAATATACCACATTTTTGTTAATCACTCGTCACTTGAAGGACACTTAGGTTGCTTCCATCTCTTAGCTATTGTGAAAAGAGCAGC